AAGAGATTTGCTTTAGCAAAATTTAGGATGATCTTTTCATCAAATACTGGGGTGAAAAAGGAAAAGAAGCCATCTGATTTATGTGAGATAAGGAGAATATGCTAGCTCTTGCAAATGTCCATTTTTTCCAATGAAATTAGAGGCCAAGTTATTAAGTAAGAAGGTGTGGAGAGGGCAGGGGGCAGAAAGCAAGGAGAAGGGAGGACTGGGGATGAATGAAAAGATTTAGAAAAGTTGCTCTGGCGAATGGCACGGGGAGGCAGTTAGGGAGACGTCAAACCATTGCCTTGTCACAAGTAGGGTCCAGCTAAGATTACATAGCCTAAGTCTGCAGTGGACCCAGGAGGCCTGGTTTCATGATTTCCTCTCTCTCATCCAGCAGCACATGAGCCGGAAGTAATGTGAGGCTAAGGGTTGCATAAATCATCAGCCCAAATCCCTTTCCTCACCTTTATGGCTCCTTCTCTGTCCCATTCTTTGAGAATCATTGACCAGGTTCATGTAGGTGATTAGCATGTCCATTTAGGGAGCTGGGAGGTAGAGACTTGAAGGTGTCCCATGGCATGAGACCCTTCAGGAGCCTAGAAAGAAGCCTCTGTGATCTTCAAAGTCAGGGTTAGGTTTAGCATCAGGGCAGGGGTTATTCTGGTCAGGTTCCATCAGGGTTAGAACCTAAAAAAGGTGATTACTTAGTGGTGAGGGGGTATGAGAAAGACACAGAACCATGACTGAAGTCAGAACATGCATTTGACAACTCTGAGAGAGACCAGAAAACAGGGACTGAGGTACAGGCTGGGGCCCGCTGTCAGTTGTGAGCCCAATCAGGCAATCAATACACAGTGATTAAGCACCTCTTGTTTTATGCACTGTACTAAGCTCTAAGGGTATTAAAAAAAAGGCAAAAGAAATGCTACGTTGTCAGGAAGCTCACAATCTACTATAAAAACATGGAGATAGTTTGAAAAGAAGAACAGAAAATGAACCCCACTCCTAGCTGATCTACATGAAAAGAGATTGTTTTGGAATGGGAATACATTTAAGTTCAATAGAGAAATGAGATAATACAAGAGTGAGGATAATAACAGTCTAAGAAAGAGAACAGAATTCGAGGAAATAGTCTAAATCAAAATCACAGTTTTAAAAATAATAAGCTAGCATTTGTAGTCATGTTAAAAATACTATAAATGACTTGATCGGAAAACTGCAAATTAAAATACCTTGGAGGTACCACCTAACATCTATCAGAGTGGCTAATATCATGATAAAGTGAAATTTTGGATATTGGAGGGAATGTGAGAAAACTAGGACCCTAATGTACTACTGGTGGAGTTGTGAACGGATCCAACCATTCTGGAGAGCAATTTGGACCTCTGCTCAAAGGGCTATAAAATGGTGCATACCCTTTGATCCAGCAATGAATAACACTGCTAGGTCTACATTGCAAAGACATCCAGAAAAAGGGGAAAGGACCTATTTGTACAAGAATATTTATGGCAGCTCTTTTTGTGGGGCAAAGAATTAGAAATTGTGGTGATGCACATCAATGGGGGAATGGCTAAACAAGCTGTGGTATATGATCGTAATGAAATATTATTGTGCTATAAGAAATAACAAGCAGGATGATTTCAGAAAAACCTAGAAAAACCTTACAAGAACTAATGCTGAGTGAAGTGAACAGAACCAGAACATTGTACACAGTAACAGCAATATCGTTCAATGAAGAACTGTGACTGACTTAGCTTTTCTCAGCAATATAATGATCCAAAACAATCCCAAATGATGGAAATTCACTTTTTGATTACCTCCCTAACCAGTCAATAAAATGAATTGCTGGTTACTCTGTAAAAGATTGATTTTTCTTCTGGCTCTTGACAAGCAGTGTATTAAATGATCAATGTACTTGAAGGTCAATTGCACAGATTATTTCTTCTTTTAAACAATGTTTATATTTAAAAGTTCCTTTGTAAGGACAGAATTTCTTCAGACACATAACTATTTTTTTCTACCAATGGAAAACCAGGTACACTTTCATTGAAACTCTACTGAACGACTAATCTGTGTTGCCAAACAGTTCATTTGAGAAGCTGACAAGGAGGTGAATAATAACCTAAGTAGAGGATAGGTTCAAATCTGAGAACAACCTTAGCATTGCAATGAGGGGCTCTTTAAGGTTTGTTTCTGTAGAACAGTTGTGGGGGTCCATGATGATTTCAGTGTGGCCTCCACTGTTCATGCAGAGCAATCATGGTTTCAAAGAGCCTGTTTTCTCTGCTGCAAGAATGCAAACCCCAGTAACATTGTGATCTGCTAATTACAGCTTCGAGGAGATATGATTACAAGGTAACCCAGGAATGAGAGGACTGCTGTGGTACAGTTACAGCCAGCCACTGAGGGTCTGTGCATGCTTGTGACCATTTGCACATGAATGTCCAACCTCCCTGGAAGTTTGGAAACAATTTGATGTCAAGTTGAGAAACAGAAAGAACATGCTCTAAATATAAACAGTCAGAGCTTATTGCATGACCCTGAAAAGCACTATATGCCTGACCATAATGATTTGAAATCACTGCCGAAAGAATCCTATTATGGGTGAAGTATACACATGCTTGTTGTCCCAGAGGATAAATATTAGTGCAAACAGATTTTATAACATTTTATTTTCCACTAATGGATATTAAAATGATACTTAAACTATTTTTAAGTTTTAAATTCCAAACTCTTTCAGTCTTTCCCCTCTTCACTCCTTGAGATGTTAAGGAATCTGATACAGGTTATATATGTACAATCATTACTACAAGGATTTTATTTTTATTTTAGTGATCAAAGGCATTTAGAGACAATAAAAAAAAAAGAAGTAAGTAATGGCTATCCCAAAAAATTAATAGGCCAAGGTGGTGAAATCAATAGAAACTGACCCCGGAATCTAGAGGACCTGAGTTCAAATCCAGCCTCAGATACTTGACACTTACTAGCTGTGTGACTCTGGATAAGTCACTTGACCCCAATTGCCTCAGAGCTCTCTGTATATGAAGCTCTTTGTAAATTAAATCATCCTCGGGATGTGAGCTAATGGCATTTTGAAATAATTGATTCTGCCATTTTACCTTCGAAGACTTTGCTCATTGTCTAGGGAAAGAGAATGTAAGGGAGTTTATCTTTTGCCTATGGAGGGAAGGGGATACAATTATATACGTGTCTGTGTGTATATTGCTTGTTTCTTTCAGAAGGAGAGATTAGAGTGGAAGTGAAGACTATGGCAGAGCTAAATCTTTCTGTGGAAGAAACTCAGGAGCAAAGATCCATGGATGATGGTCCCTGTGACATCACTTGGAGAGAAATCTGTGCTCTACATCAGAGAAGCCACACTGGAGAGAAACCTTATGAATGTGATCCACATGGAAAGGCTTTCATGAACAGGGCCAGTCTGGCACAACATCAGAGAATCCACACTGAAGAGAAACCTTATGAACATGATCAAAGTGAAAAGGCATTTACACTGAGGACTTGTCTTACTGAACATCAGAGAATTTACACTGGGGAGAAACCTTATGAATGTAATCAGTGTGGAAAGGCTTTTACCAAGAAGCGCAACCTTATTGTTCATCAGAGAATCCACATTGGAGAGAAACCTTATGAATGTAATCAATGTGGAAAGGCTTTCATATGTAGGAACAGTCATATTAGACATCAGAGACTCCACACTGGAGAGAAACCTCATGAATGTAATGAGTGTGGGAAGGCTTTCAGAGACCATTCCCATATTATTAAACATCAGAGAATCCACATTAGAGAAAAACCTTATAAATGTAATCAGTGTGGAAAGACTTTCATAGGCAACTCTAGGCTTGCTAAACATCAGAGAATCCACAGTGAGGAGAAATCTTTTAAATGTAATCGGTGTGGAAAATCTTTTGGAAAGGGGTATAGTCTTGCTTTCCATAAAAGAATCCATACTGGAGAAAAACCTTATGAATATAATCAGTGTGGAAAGGCTTTTACACAGAGGACCAACCTTACTGCACATCAGAGAATCCACACTCGAGAAAAACCATATGAATGTAATCAGTGTGGAAAGGCTTTTAGAGGGAGGTCCACTCTTACTAACCATCAGAGAATCCACACTGGAGAAAAAC